AAAAAAAAAAAAAAAAGTCATACTATGTCAGCATTTCCAGAACATATTGGTATAACATACTATACTGTCTCCCTTCTATCCCCCCTTTAGTCTTACTTCTTCAAATAGCTATATATATAGTGCTTGTCACTGGTGGTTACCTGATGACTCTGTTTTTTTCATATCTGGATCTTTAATGATGAATCCAGGACATAGAATGATGTTTCTGTATTGAAAGGAAGAAAAGGAAGCTATGAAGACTAGTGATAACAACTGAGGATAAAATATTTGGCTATACTTAGCTTTTTAATTGTAATCATTATAAACTTTGTTTCTTACACATAAATGTAGTCATAATCACGCTGCCCCAAATGTTTTATAATTATCCATTCCTTCTTTAAAGTCTTGCTTACTATTCTGCCATCCTCTGTGAGGTAATTAGAAAAACATAAAACCGGATGAAATCTAGAAGGCCTTATTTCCTCTCTTTTAGATACTGGCTTCAAGCTTGCTTTTTACAGCTGCAAACAAGTAGGAAGAGGTTTTTAGTTTCACAAGCTCTTGTCCTGCAATTTGGATGGACCATCCAATAAAGCAAAACCTGCTAGACGACAAGTACAAAAAGAGAGGCATTTTTCAAAGATAACCAGACTGAAAATCTAGTCCCTAAAAAAAAATAATAATAATAATAGTAATAATTTATTTCTGAGCATTAGTACTGATTATCCAGAAAAATAAAGCTTTATTAATTCAGAGCAACACAAAAGGCATCTTTAAATCTGTAAAACAAAAAAACTTCAAAACGTTGAAAACCATATTTTAAGGCAAGCTTTAAATCCTTTACCACTATTAACTTCAGCACAGCAATTCTGCATCCTGTCCCTGGATTCCTCTTAGGATAATTTTGCCACCTACAGGACAAACGAGGTGCTGGCCGCCTGAATTATTTTGCCTTCTGAATTAATTATCTTGAGGTCTAACATGGTGAAGTGCAAATACTCATTGTTTCACTGTGCCTTTAACCTTTTATAAAAAGGAATTGACAATTCATTGTTTCAAAAAAATGAAAACCGTAAATCAAACTGTCATACTGTACATCTTAAACATAAGTATACAGTGATGTATGTCCGTTATTTCTCCATCAAACCAGGGGGTTGGGGGGGGGGGGATGAAAACCAGTATTTGAAGCTGTTGACTATTAACAAAATATTTTACTTTCTCTATAGTGCTTCAAGATGCAATTTTTTCAAGGCCTTATAAAGGAAAAACTGGTTCACGTGTTACTCTTTAAAGATCAAATTCTTCTAACCCAACACAAACCTACGGAGATTTTTCTTTGTGGGCTTTTTAACCCAAGTTTCTAAATTGTAGCTTGAAAAGTTGGATTGTGAATCTAGGATAAAGAGAGTTTCAGATCAGATCTCCTAAGAGAGATCTGCTTTGTTTCTTTACCTGGTGTTAGGTGTCTTTCATTTCGAAGTGAGTGTACTCCAGTTATTCAATGTTTATAGTATCATTTGTACCTTTAAACATTGATTTTAGGGATTTTAAAAAGTCACTGAGGAATTCATTCCTTTATTACTCAACTACAACAACAAATCTGTATAGTGATCAGAATTTAAAATGTACAATTCTTTTCCTTCTGTAAATATGTATTATTGTTAGAAATAAAGAATGGCAGGACCATTGCTTTCATTAAAATATCTACTGTGTCTGCTTTTTTTTTTAATGTTTATTTATTTTGAGAGAGAGAGAGAGAGCAGGGAAGGGGCAGAGAGAGAGAATCCCAAAAGGCTCAGTACCTGCAACGAGGAGGCTGATGCAGGGCTCAATGTGAGGCTCGATCTCACGAACTGCAAGATCGTGACCTGAGCCAACATCAAGGCAGTCAACTGACTGAGCCACCCAGGCACCCCTACTGTGTCTGTTCTTAAATACGGATATTGATAAATGTTTACACAAACTTGGTTAGCTTTTTAAATTGTCATTGTTCAGGAATATCTATCGCAAACATATACCTTCCTTTAGGCCAGTAGTTAGGTCATTTTGCCTCCCGGGAGACATTTGGCAATGCCTAGGGACATTTTTGGTTGTCATATCTCAGGTGTGCTGTTGGCCAGGGATGTGGCTACATAGAGAGAGGCCAGGGATGCTGTTCAACGTCTACAATGTATAGGTCAACTCTCCACAGCAAAGAATTACCCTGTCCAAAAGGTCATAGTGCTGAGGTTTAGAAACCCAGATTTAGGCCAAGGTAATGCTGAGCATCGTGGAGTTATTACTGGTTCTGTTTCCAAAGGGCCTCATTGAAATTTAAAAGGTAAGATGTAAATGAACTCTATAAATCCTACTCCTTGCTAAATACATACTATGTATTTATGCTAAATACATACTATGTAACAATCATGTGTACTTCAGATGTGAATATATTCAAACAGACGAAAGCTTTTTGGGTTTTCCACAAGAGGTACAGGACAGAACACAGGTGCTATTGACGTGACCTCTGATGACTGTTTACTGAGTGCATCCTAAAAGATAGAAGCAGTCCAGAATGGGTTGAGAAGACTTACCTTTATCATCTAGATTATCTTTACTGAAGATGACAATATATGGCAGAGGGACACCTATGTCTGAGATCTTTGAGGCTAAGATATATTTAAGTTTCTAGCTTATTACTGGAAAATCATCTGGTATTTTAATCTTGGAGGGTCCAGAGAAGGCCACAGGTGGGTCTTGATTAAAGCTAATCATTGCCACAGAGCAGCCGTGTGAGAGCCCAATGAAGGTGAACCCCCCAGGAACTCCCCCAGGAAGAGATTGGTCAAGGTAGATAAGGTCATGCTGCAATTACAAACAACCCCAGAAGTGCTCACTCAGTCAACTGTGGATCCTGCCTATTCTCTTGACAGCTGTTCTCCAGTCTCAGAATCCCAGACTGTTTTGGTCTCATGGCATTTGTGTATTACCGTGGGCTTCCCCAGTCATCCCTCATCACAGTGGGCTAAAGAGTTGATTACACAGGTCATTTGCACTCACATTGCATTTGCCAAAGCAAGTCATGGCCATATGTGATATCAAGGCATTGGGGAAATGCAATTGCCTTAGGTAGAAGAGAAGTGGATACTGGAATGCTAACCATGGAAGCACAAGCCGGGAGGCAGACATCGGGAGGTCCCCAGGGAAAAGGTATTAAAAATACTTGTGGAAGGGGGCACTGGGTGGCTCAGCTGGTGAAGCCTCTGACTCTCCATTTCAGCTCAGGTCATGATCTCAGAGGTTCATGTCCCACATCAGGCTCTGTGCTGACAGTGCAGAGCCTGCTTCGGATTCTCTCTCCATCCCTCTCTCTCTGCCCTTCCTTTGTTCTCCCTCTCTCGCTCTTTCAAAATAAACTAATAAAACAAACAAACAAACAAAAACAACCTGTGGAGGGGCACCTTGTTGGTTCAGTCAGTAGAGTATGCCACTCTTGATCTCAGGGTCATGAGTTTGAGACCCACCTTGGGGGTAGAGTTTACTTAAAAAAAAAATACATATGGAAAAGAGAGGCAAAAAGTTAAAACGAGACCAGCTTTTTAGAAACATGAACTGATACTCATTTTGCTATGGTAATTTTTGCTTCATTTTACTCAAAGTTTGGGATCATTTTACCAAATGAAAGCTCTTCTAGTTTCTCAAACATAAAACAATAATTTCATTTTTTAAATCACTTTTTCCTTTTCATTAAAAGAAATGTCAGGTGCGTTCTCAGTTCCTTACAAATATATTTTCTCAGTATACTTCATCAGAGCCACTTGTGTTACTTGTTAACTGCATTTTTCTGGGCCCTTCCCGGGTGTACAGAATCAGAATGTCTGAAATTCTGATCAATTCATCAGCAACTTATCAAAATGTATTTAAATCCATCCATTTCCCACCATCTCTGGGATTACAATTTTAATCGAAATCATCTTCATCGTGTGCCTGGACTCCTGCAGTAGACAGGACTTCCTGTCTCCACTTGAGACAT